TTGCAAATCCATGTGAGCATTGATGTCATAAAGTAAGCAGAATGAATGTGTGAAATTGCTTGTAAAATTATCAAATGAAATGAATAGCAAATACGATGACTTTTTTTTTTCTTTTTTTTAAACTTGAATAAGGAAACTGTCAGCAATGATGCACTCTCGTAATGCTTACTAGAGCTGAACAGCATATATATAAGTCTGTGCAAAAGAGGCAGCTGGGCAGATCTCAGGATCCACAAGGCTTGCCATAGTTCCAGAAGAGAGTAGCAACTCTTTCTGCAACTGCAGCCTATCACTTCAAAGTAAAAAAAGGTAAGATTTATGTCGATTAGCAGTGCAGTTTGCTTGAGAAAGCTGAGTGCATTATTGGAATTGTATTGCCAAAGTTTGCAAGGTGCAGGAACTTTCAGCAAATTGTTGTTTTCTTCTGTGTTTATAATCATTGATGTTTGGATGCAATTACATATCATTTTGATTTTTTAATCTATTTAATTACTTCAATGGAGAATGATCCAGAAAAGGGAATCAACTATTTGGGTTGCAGAAGCAATGCAAAGAAGGAAGATTAACCATGAAAATATGAAAGAAATGCATTGTAGTAAGAATTTAAAGTGAGATACATAATTACTGATTTTCATCTTTTCATCTCCTTTAGTATCTCCTCTAGAGATATTTAATTAACATGAGTATTCACTCCTTATAAATGCTGCCTAAATGGGGATTAAATTAGCAGAATGCAAACAAATTAAGTGAGTTTATATAGACACTGAGTTTAAACTGCCCAAGACAGATTGTCACTCCATCACCCTTCATATTGCCACTTCACAGCCCTACTTTTAGATCTGTTTGGTTTTTTTAATCAACTGTTCTTTTCATATCACTGTGAGATCTGAAAAGGAATTTTTATAACTCAAAAGTAAAAATTAAAACCTCTCAGTAGTTGTTGTGATTATTGTAGAAAAGGTACTACTATGGACTTCCGTAGGCTAGGAAAATTATATTTTACAGCACTTTCCACAAAGCATTAAAATAAAGTAGGTAAATTAGATGTACAGTAAGTCTACCTGAAAATGTAATGTATTTACAATTAGAAGTAACTGCTACTTGCAAACATGTTCACGTCAATAGAAATCTATTTTATTCATTCATACATTTTCATATGAAAATACTCCCTTTTTAACTAGTGTAACTCTCTAATTTGTATTTTTAAACAGAATATAGATATAAATATAACTTTTGAAAGCTTCCTTTTTGAAAACTCAAGAAAATTAAGCTAGCTAAAGTTTCACATCATGTACAAAAGACATCTGCAGTACAATATATTGGAAAACCTAGGAAAATCAGGTTAATCAATGAAATAATCTGAAAGTTTCTGAACAAGATTTGAGCGACATATTCATGATATACTTTCTGGTGGATAAAGCTGAGATGCATTAAGTATTTAATCTCCTATCAGAAAGAAATTATAACATTTCCATTAGCCTAAGATGCATAGGAACAAAAATTTTCTCTGTAAAATTAGCTTTAGTTTTCCTGCATCTTTACAATAAGACTGCATGGTTTTTGGTTTTTAGAGGTATCTACTGGTGTCCTAAATAAGTTAGAGTAAATTAAACTTTTCTTCTGATTAAGAAATTAATTTATCAGC